CGGCCTGGGGACCGGGGCTGGGGGGGCCCGGGAGTGGGGGGGGATTTGCGGAGGGTTCTGCGGCCGCTCTCGCTCGGCAGCGCTTTGTTTCCAGCCAACGAGCGAAATATTTCGGATGAAGCCTCTCAGACTTTTGGATGAAATCTTGCAATTGTTCAGAGAAAAATTTTTCACTTTCTGGATAAAATATTCTCGTTTGGGCACCGAGGTTTTTTTTTTTTTTTTTTTCTGGAAACTTTATTTCCATGGAAATCGCTGGCAAAAAATGAAAGGAATTTTTTTCCCTTCTTTAAAAAAAAAAACAACAAACCCAACAAAACCAAACAGCCCTCCACAGTGGAAACATGGTTTAACTCTTGTTTTACAGCATCAGAAAACGGTGATTTTCAAACAACTTCAACAACTGAGGGCTTTCCTGGCACTCCAGTGTATCGTCTTAGGCTCAGGGCTTGTTGACCTAGGGGAGTATTTTCAAAATGAAGAGGCAAAGGGACTGAAAGTCTGGGCAAAAAAGATGACATCGGCTTCCAAGTAAAAATCTTGTCACTTTCAGTATGGGCAAAAGTTAGCAGGAATCCCGTGGAGAGGGCTCGAGAACTACCCAGACGGATGTTCACAGCGCAGTGATAAAGGGAAAAAATGCAGGAAAGGATTTTGGAAAAAAACAATTGGGAGTAGAGGAGGAGAAATAAACCCAACAGAAACCCCGGGGAAAGAGCCTAGGACTTTTTGCTCAGATTTCAGTAGCGTTCTGCAGAGCCTCCAGCTCCAGGTACAGCTGGTTCAGGGAGGGGAAAATGGGCATTTCTCCACCTAGGCATGACATGTTCTGCTTTGGAGAACTTACATCCCTCCAAAAGAAAAGGAGGTTTTGTGCTCCTGTGAAGGTCACCATCCGTGTTCATGGAAGGATGCACATGTGACCTTGGGTGGAAGCCTGCCTGGTTTCTCAAGCCTGGTAGGCGTTGTTTTTGCCCTCCATCCCGAAGCATTCACTCGGCTCTGGTTATCCCCCACCCCTGGAACAGCCTTTTCTCTTCCAGTTGCTTGCGTGTGCCCGGGAAACGCTGGGCCTCTAGTTAACGAAGCAAACCTGTCACTTCGGCGTTTCCACGGCTGATGGACTCACTGCCGAATTGGCCGCAGCCTGGGCTCCGCTGGCCTCGCTTGTCTGGCCTGGAAATTGCACTGCGCATAAAAACCATGATGTACAATGTTAAGAATTAGAATTTGCCTTTTAGGGCAAATCGTGGCTGTCTCTTTTACTTGCCAAAGAGCTGACATGAGGAGCTTACACTTGCACCTATTTCCCCCAAATTGCACCAAAATGATTGAAGGGAGGAGCCAGGGCTCCCTGTTAGTGTCAGCTGTAGCAGACTGAGCCAAACGTGTGAGACAAGATGATGTTAAGAGATGCCTGGAGATGCAAGACTCCTGCTTGCAGCCCCCCTTCTCTTCTCTCTTGGGATGCATCTGCCAGGGTCACTGAGGGGTTGCTTAGTTGTTTCTTGATGCATCACAACCTTCCCAAGGCAGGACACTGCCTGGCAGTTACAGTCCAGGCATGGCCTGTCCCTCCAGAGTGGGAAATATTCAATGAACTCGCCCATTCCCTTCCCTTTTGGAGTTCTGTCCACATGAGCTCATGGGGGAGATGGGGAGCTCCTGTTGTTCTTCAATTGAGGGGCTCAGCATGGATGTGACCCATGTTTATCAATAAGGAGACCTGCCTTGGGATGGGCAGGATGTTCAAGAAAAAGCCTCTCTGTGGGTTTCTTCCCCTTTCCAGCCCATGTGCTTCCATTATGGTGTAACACTGGCCTCTTTCTGAGGTCATGGAGGCCAGCAGAGAAACGTCATCAGAAAATCCAACTTCTCCCAACCGAATTGTTCTTCTGCCTGCGTTCTTCCTGGTTAGCTGGGTGTTGTTATTCCAGGAGCTGTAGGTT